ATTTGAGACGAATTGGACGGTACCTGGATGGTCTCGCCTCCAGACCTTGTCCAGGGAGTTCCATCAGGGCATTTCTAACAGAAATACCTTTACAGGTTTTTGGGAACTAGAATTGCCTTCAACTCAATACATTCGAGCCAGGAATCAGTCTTCTGACGAGGTTTCATAGGACTGTTTAGAATTCTGCTGTTTATATATTGTTTCTACAATAATTTAAGTTTACTACATATTGATGTTTTGGAGTACTCTTTCTAGGTTGAATACGACGGGCCATATCAGCGATTTCGTACAATGATGCACTTACGCCCTCTTTTGTTCAATATCGGGTTTTCCCCACCAGTCCCAAGCTGGGTCTCGACGGATTCGTGATCTACGCACTTCAATGCACAAGTCCACCAAATTTTAGCTTACTATTCAAAATTTCAGAGCTTGGGCCTTTTTTGGAAGATCTTTCCCGGGCTACAATGGCTATTTAGGACTGAAGGCCCGTACCTCCGATCCTTCCACTTAAGCGACCCGGGTTTCAGCGCCGCAGGCTTAGGTAGATGTATGCCAGCTGGCATCTAGGTGCGTCGCAGCGTAACAGTGTTTCGTGAGATATCGCGAAGCCTGGTACGCGAGACGTGGTGAGGCGTACATCTACCTAGTAGTTACTAAAACTTATCCTTTTTGTATAGAATCTTACACTTTTCATTTGGCACCGGCCGGCTCTTGAGAGGTTAGGTTTGTGCGAGGGGGTGCTCACTTCAAAAAATCGGTGTACCCAGAAAAAAATCATCAAAAAGTCAGAAAAAATCGAAAAAGTTAAGACAATCAAAAAATGTCAGAAAAATCACGGAAGAGTCACGAAAATCACGCGAAATTTTGGGAAAATCAAGGGGAAAGTCATTTTAAATCCAGCAAAGAAGCTAAAAATTGAGAATAATCAATTGTTTCCACCTGCATTTAATATTTACCCCTATTTGCTACCCATTTGCGACAGTGGAGACTTTCCCTATGTTATCGTGTTTTAATGTAATTTGGTTCCAGAAATAAGTTTTAATGCATCCGTATATGAAAAATCCACCTTTAAGCGGTGCTTGTCATAGCTTGTAATAGCGATTTTAGGTGCATTCTAAAAATTCCTTGCGCAACAAATTAGTTATGGAGGTAGTAATTTGTAGAGACAGGCATTGGAGGTTGCTCCACAAGATTTACATGACAGCTTTGCACTGGGCCAGTGAGGACCCCCTCGGGTTTCTGAGCTTTAAGATCTATCCTTCATTTTGTGCGTCACAAGTTCAATTTAAAAAAAACAAGCACAGGATGTTCTACATTTTGAATCAATAATTGTGATAGTTCACAGCACCTATCATAAGTTGAATGTCAACTACTCTGAGCATCTTTTCTACCTCTACCTGCACTCTTCAAAACTATTACAAGGAGAGCATTTTATTCAAATGGTCGAATTCTGATCGATATGACGTGACACGACGATCTATTAGAACCACGTCGATAAGGGGATTTTTGGTCGATGCTGATATCTAGTTGATTTTGTGGACATTTTCGCGTCGATGTCGACCATTTTCGACGATGACTTGTCGACGGCCAAGTCGACGTCGATTCGACGATCCACTTGTGACTGGGGGCGGTGTAATCTGCTCCCTACCTCCACACTCGACTCTCGCTCGCTGAGTTGGCGCAGCGTCTTCTTAATCAGCCGAGAATGAGCGCTAGGCGAGTGAAATTGAAATGCATAGGTGGGCGAGCGGTAGGTAAATGTAGTTGACGGTATTTTCCTGGCCATTGTAGGCGCTTTCCGCAGGCCGGGAGCCAGGTGCAGTTGGCGATCCGACTTTACTGGCTCCCACCACGCCTGCCCGGCCGTTCGCTCTCGAATTATCGGGGTGAAGCACGTGTAAAGTCATACACATGAAATAGAATTGCCCATTTTATTAGCAGAGATATATTGCATCATGCAAAGACACAAGAAAATCGATAATTCGACATGTGTATTGGTATTTCAATAGTTTCGTCTTAACCTATATCTGTCAAATTTGAGGAGGCAAACAATTACGTAAATCTGTACGCAGTGTTTTAATATTTTACATCCATTCGTAGCATAGGCATTAGCCTCTGCAAATAACATTTCAACCTAACCCCTCATCTTAGCAATGTAGTCCGCTGCGCGCTGGATGACGGCGGGGTCTGTGAGAGCACTGCTATAGCACTTCAGGGCGTCGGTGGCCTTACCAACGTTCGCTCTGTGCAAGCACGCTTCCAACCACTTCTTTGCTGCGTCCTCTGAAGCGCCGTAGCCATATTGTAAGTACAGCTGGTAGGCACAGGTCTTGCCCACGAGTGAGTCAACCTTCTTCACATCCGCAGACGATTCCAGGCAGTCTTGAATGGCGAACATGTGCGTAAAAGTTTCCAATTGGGTGTAGACGGTGTCACCTTCCTGCGAAGACACAACAGATGTCCGCTACCAAACTGCCACACAAAAGGAACATTCGGTGCCTTTTACGGCTTATTTTATAGTACTTACGACGAAGGTCCATGGCAGAAGAATGTTTTTGTTCAGACACTTTGAGAGCTTCGTAATGTCGGATTCAGCGGCGCCGGCGGATCGCATACACTTTGGCAGTTCCTTAATAATTTGGTTTTGGGGGCTGGATCCGCTCCTGGCATTGTATTTAGCGTTTGTAACGCACTGTTCCTGGGGTGAGCTGTCGAAGGAGCCGGCCCAGCGGCCGGGGAAGTCTGCGGCACATCCCTCCACCCGGTACTGCAGCTCTTGAATGTTAGCGCTCGAAAGGGATGATTTTCCTGCCGCCTGCAAACATTAAGGGTTTAATGAGACGTTGCGGTACGAGACACCTTCTGAAGAAATATTTTGCTGATAGGCACCCGGTGCACTGTTAGATTCCTTCAAACCAAATGTTTTGCCATTAGGAAGGATTTTGATTCTTTATAACTACGAAGCATTTAAATTTGCAACTGCATGCTGCAAAGTATCGCTTTGTGATTAAGAAGTAAATGCTTCGCTGTTACAACTGATCAAAATCTTTCGCAAGGCTGCAAGGCATTGCTTTGCAGAAATTTTACACGGTGACACGCTCTTTTCCTCTCTTGGTCAACATTAAGGTAAAGTTGAGCCGCAAAGTATCTATTATCTTCAATATCTTTGTGATCCACTGTACGTTTATGATAACGAACTTGCTACATACAGTGAACCGAACCTTCAAACATTCCGTATACACATCCCTCTCACGGCCGCGCACGTCCCCGCTCGGCCCCAAGACTTTGTGGCCTTTGAGATGAAGGCTGGGCCGAAGTGGGACACTTTTAATGGGGTCGCTACCCCACCTCAGTTCGGAGGTAGGGTAGGTTGAATTCAGAGGTAGTTTTTGGCCGATTTGCCAGTTTTTCGACACTGGAAGCAGAAAGGTCGGTCCGATCGACACAAACTTTAGAGGGAAGCTTCCTTGGGGTGTTTTTGAACCGATCCGCATAGACCTTACCCTGCATCCCCATCCAAGGGGGTACACACGGCCACTCGGGGGTGGCCACCCCCTCGGAAGCGGATGCAGATGCTGACGACGGGTTTTTCAGCATGGATGTGTTGCAGACCAAAAAAGGAACCTTCCCTGAAATTTTCACCTCTGAACTTCAACCCTAAGGGTTCAAAATGGTCGACATTCGAAAAGGGGTTGGACGTCCGTGGGGGCGGTTCGGCTGGGGGTTGTCCGATTCGGACAAAAAGACAGGGGCCGTGTACAGGGGGCGTCGTCGTCGGGTTTTCCGTCGAGTTTGACCATCCTTAAAGCTCACCCCTTCGAGGGGGTGAGGTTGAATTTGGAAGAAGTTGGGTTTGTCCGATCGCGATTTCACCAACGCTGTTCGAAAGAGGACAAAAAGTTGAGTCGGTTCATGAAAAATCTCGTCTTTCCGAGCACTGAAAGTGTCCATTTCGGACCTGTTAGGACCGATTTTTTCACACTCCTCCACATTAGGGGTTGCACAGACCGTTAGGGGCGGCCAACGGTTTGCGCACTTCCTGAGCCTTGAGATGAATGATTGAGACAACTGACTGCCATATATTAGCTTCCCAGGTCAAACAAGCAGGCCCGCCCTTCCGCCAAACGGAGTTGCCAGCTCCACTTCGCTGCGCCGGCAACTCCGTTCGGCAGGGGCCGGGCCTGCTTGGCCTGCCGGCGGCGATGGTCGGGCCTTCGGCCCGACCATTTCAATCTCGCGATTTATTGAAGTGCATCATCAAATAAATAATGTGACCGGTAAATCACTTTGCATATTTGAGTAAAATTAAAGCGTCCTGTGGGGGGCCTGAGGCCCTAGAAATTTGCTTCTTGGACATGACAAAAGACTGTAACGGGGCAACACCGTGACTACACCCCACCCTTCTGCTTTGCTTCCAAAAAATTAACCCACGCAGTTTCTAGATTGTATATTGTTTGTCAAACAGTGTTAAAACTTGACTTTTTGCCATTGTTTTCAATATATCTACCTCTAAGGCCAAAACAGTGAAAGATTCGGCAAATCCGAGGGAAGTTTCTGATTCAGAATGTGTTGTTTTGGGGGGGCACTCCCTTTGACATTTTACGATTGAAAGCCTCCTTGTACGTCTTTATGTACAACGTGCTCATTTTCGCCGTATTTTCGTCGAAAAAAGCACTCTAGCGCCGAAACGGTGCAAGATAGAGTCAAACGGACAAAATTTTCGCCCAAAGGGCTCTACTTTCACGAGTTACCCCTTAGAAGACCATAAAATAATATTTTTTTCCTACTCTTTGGACCAACCTCTATTTCTTTTTTACCCCCTTTCACCCCCTTAGGGGTGGTTGCCAGGATTTGCACCAGGCGTTTCGTTGTCCAGGAGTGACCCCTAAGATACCCTGAAATTTGTAGACCTCTAGCTCATCTCCTTCCTCTTACACGGACGACGGACAGACA